CTATATTTGCAGTGTTACCTAAACAATCTATTACTGTAGGGAATAACTACAGTACTACAAATACTAAGTTAAAGTTATTTTGTTAACTGAAGCCATTGGCAAATACTTAAGAATGGCCAAAGCATATGAATTGACAATAAAGAACAGATACAAGATAGCAAACTCTTTTGTGTAACTTCTGGTATGATAAAGTAAGCACCATACAAAATAAAATTATTTTTTAAATTTCGGGGTAATTTTACTTACTTAGAAGCAAGCCTTTAGGTTGCACTCTGTGAATGATTGGGCTAGAATATGCTGATACAGCCAATTCCCTGTCAAAACACAACAGGAACATTTTACAGAAAGATTGTTCTAGGAAAAACATGTAACCTAGGAAAACTGGTGAAGAATATCTGAGGTACTTGCTGTTTTATTGAAAACAATCTCCTAATTTGTGTCTTGCAGTTAGCACAGATACATTGTGGAATCCTGAAGATATGTAATTAATGTTAACATTTATCAAGTAATATTCAGGACTAAACCATAAAATATGAAGTAGTCTCTTCTGTAAACTCAGGTGCACTGTATCTGTGTTTGTGAAAAAATATATATGTATGTGTGAAAAAGGCTAAGTTATCATATTCCAGTCTCTAATCAATTAGAGATAAGAGAGGCTCCAGCCCTAGGTGCATCGTGTACCCAGGGAATTCAGGTGGATTTCTTAGCTACAAGCTATTAACAATGGATCTGTGAAGCAGCAGAAGAGAAGCACCATAGCTGCAAAGACCTCAAAAATTCTTCCTTCTACTCATCAGTTTTGCGTATGTTTTGCTCTGTTTCAACCAAACACTATTAGTCCAGAAACTAATTTTGTGGGGGTCCTGTACCATTTGATAGTGGGGTGGATGTGAGGAATCATTGGTGGTGCTGAATGTAGTGTGCGTATCACTCAGGTGAGGCTATGCTATCTGAGCAGTTTGCCCAGGGCCTGCATAAAGTGAACCAAAGACATTTGATTATTGTGCAACTCCCTAAATGAAGGGTTTGTAATGGAGTTATGGTTTCCAATTATGTCTTATTTGAGAGCATGTCTTGCTGGAGCTGCAGTTTCAAGAAAGGCTCCTATGATTAACTCACATAACCCATGCCCTTAATACTTCTCCCTGGCTAGTCACAGGGAAATTGCATGGGTACTGTAGTGGTCCTGGAGAGTGAAAATGAGGCTGAAAAGAAATTGTTTGCTGCTTGGCATCACTAGAAGACCATCTGGGTTCAGTTTTGTCCTAAATTCAGATTGTACTGCATCTAACTTAGCACTTTCAACAGTGACAGGTTTCTTGACATTAGTGAAGCTCAGAGCACCTTGCAAAGGTAGCATTGTGATTGCTGTTATTTAAAGATAAGGTTACTGAGGCCCAAGGAGGAAAAATGTGTTTGCCAGTGGACTTTAATTTGTATGTGATGAAAAATTGAATTTCTAAGATGTATGACCATCAGCTTGAGCTTTCACTATTGCTAATGAACCTGTGCTTGAATCATGTATTGTCCAGAATGTTTGGACCCTTGTACAGGTCACAGATTTCTCTAGACCATTTCAGGAGAGAAGCCTGAATCTCAAGTTGCTGCTTACGGTGGATCCATACTCACATGTAATTGAGTTTGGACAGTATGGGCACACATGAATAGCACCTATCTGCCAACATGTTATCCTGAAAAATCCTGAAGTTATATGACCAATCACCACATGGAAGAAAATCAATAGTGGGCTCTGCTCATCAAGTGTTTATTACTGGATTTGGTGAGAGAATATAAAAAGAAAGAGGCTGCCTGAGCTCATCCTATACTAAGAATTCATGGGTATACCACACATGAAAGAACAACACTGTGGTGGACTGTGACAGTGGAAAGAACATACTCTGAGTTATGTACAATAAGCATTCCTATTGTAACATGGTCTGTGCACCAGAGTCTAGCACAGCTGCTGCTTTCATTTAAATTAGTGAGAGATGGTTGGTTGGTTGTACTGAGAAGAAAACACAGTCCTCTTAACTTGTGTAATTGCAGATGAAGGAAGGCTAGTAAAATATTTGTCTATGGTAGGGCAATGCCATCTAGTTACCAGTCTACCAGCTGTCAGGCTTCTGACTCACATGTAACACAAACTTGACCGTTTTATATCCTTCACTTTACAGGGAAATGTCAAAGTCCTTCTAGGTCTTATGGGCTTTTTTTTAATATCATCTTATTGCAATGTTTGTAAGAGGACCGTTGAGATGGTGTTTTCAAGGTATCAGTGCCTTTGAGTGCACTCAGCAATATTAGGGGATGCTTTTCAAAGCCATCCTGAGTGCAGGCTAAGGTCTAAGAGTGTGAGAAACATTTGTGGTGAAAACCAACGTTAGACCTACCTGCCTTTGGAAACATTGGATATATTTATCACTGGAGTGGAGGAAGAGGGAGGGGACATGTAGGGAATGTTTGGTTTTTTGCTGTTTGGGGGTTTTTTTCTTCCTTTAGATGCAAGGTTTCTCTATGTTGTTCTGTAAGTGCTTCAGGTGGAAAATCATTTCTCACTTTGCATCAAAAGTATGCCTGGCAAAGGAATAAGTGTTTTTGGAGCAGCACTTCATAGAGTTGATTTTCAGCCAAAGTCAAGTCCCTCTGGGGGCAGTTACAACTGATGATATTTTTTAGCAGGCTTGAAGCTACTCTCACTTTGGGGACTGAGGAATCCTCTTGCTATCTGCAGGAACTGTGTAAGTGACATCATCACATGTCACTTTTTCTTCCTCCTGGACACAGTTAAGGTGGGCCCTTGAAGCTCTCAGACCCAAGCTGGAGCAGAAAAGGGGCCATGCTGTCATAATAAAGCAAAAGGCTTACTATAAAGAAATATGAATTACTGAAATCCAGGAACTGTTTGAATACTTCTGTGACCCATTCTTCAGGCCTAGGACTCCCATCTATTTTTGATTTATACCATCAATATTCTTTGAAGGCATAATCATTGTGACATTGATGAAGGAATTTCAAATTAGTATCAGAAGGGACTAAAAAGTATTTTAGCAAAACATATATTGATGGAAGTCTGGCAATTGCATTCTTTTGGGAAAAAAATTAAAATAACTATCAACCACATGCCTTTATCTGGAGGAATAACATGGGCTACAAAATATAGATGTCAGAATCTATTGGCCAATCAGATGCAATTATTATGAGTTAAGATATTTAGTAGCATATTGCAAACTGTGTTGTTCATGGCCAGTCTTTGAGAAAGATCCCAGCTGTAGTCACACAGACACAATATATTAAAATCTAAATAAATTACTGTATTTTTCATATATCCTGAAGAAATATCTCTCGAACTGGTGTGAACAAGTTAGAATATTAAGGCTAGCCTCTGTTATTTTTATTTTTTTTAAATCAGTGACCCATATATTCACTGAACAGTTTAGCTTCTCATCTGTCTTTTTTTTTCTTTTAATCTTGTGCCAGGTGTTTAAGAAGTGGGCAGTAGTGGTATTTCAGTAACCTGCTTTCAACATTATTTGCATACCTTTGTGCTTTTCCATGGTGATCAATGCTCAACCGTAGTGGAATTTCAGTCAGTAAATTTTATGGGCAATTGCTAAAGTAATTTTTTTTTAATTAGTCTGTTCTAGGAATATAATGTCCCTTTATAAATATTTATATTTTCAATATGTCTTCATTTAATTGAAAAGGTTCTTCACATTATTTTCAGATAACTGCAGCTAGCGGGCCTAATGACACATCAACACTCTGACCTTTTAGCTTCTCTGTTTCTTCTAGTTCATCCACATTTTGTTTGTCCATGTATATTATATTTTAGTTCATATATGATTTTCCTCTTTAGTTTGTTGAAACTGACAGTGCTCCATACAAACACCTTAATAAACTTCAAAGGAATAAAATAAGCTATTGCATACTATCAGCTGTCATATAGACTGTCTTGAATATTATAATCAGTATACATTGCTACTAGAAATCCACACTGAAATAATGTTTGATTTGTCCAGAACTTTCTGGCAAAATGCAAAGCATTTAATACTGTATTCTGTTTTGTGCAATGAAAGAGTATTTGGTCTGTGCTCAGTAATTTGGAATCTCTATGAACATATCTCAAAGTCATGGATAAAACTGAATGAGTTGCATATACATCCATGGCATTACAGTGTGAAAGAGATGACAAATATGTCTACTTTCTACCTGAGTGAAGCCAATACAGTGGGTCAGAAAGGAACTTGCATGAAATTATGATGAAGGGCACTATATAGATACTACATAGATACTGAAATGTCCCGTGATGAAACCCTGACAGATCATCTATCTCTGTCTATTGCAGAGAGGCTATTTAAGACACAGAGTATTTTAATGCAGGTGTTACTAGCTCATTTAAACCAGCATCAAGAAACATTTTACATTTCCTCTCACAAAAGATCGTGACCAAAGATCTTTAGAATTGGTTAGTGTGTGCAAATCGTTCATATTTCTAAGTAATCCTGCTGATTTATTTATTTTCATTTTTGCATTGTGTGTTTTTGTTCTTTTCATTATATTGAAAAATCTCATTTTGCAAATAAACTCCCTGTAGCTGGTGATTCTGCTTGCTAAAAGAGAGTCTTGTGTAACGTGAACTAATAACATATCAGTAACCTACACTGATTAATTCAACTTAATGTAAATCACACTAACAACTTTTTGCTGCAGCTCAAAGGTGATCAGCAAGATGCTACAGCTGAAAAATACTGTCTTTTAAGTTTTTGCTGAATAGTTTTTTGACTTTTTAAAATTGTAATGGTTGCTACATACTTCTAGAAAACTTGTGGAAATGGATTGTTCTTTTTGTTCTCAGTCACTTTTGAAATAAAATTTGTTTTGCTAGTAGTGCATGAGTCCATATATAACAATATTAAAAGTATTAATTAAACTGAGTGTAGTATTCTTGCAGCTCAGCCTTAGACTGAAACTTAGTAATATGTACGATTTTGCTTTCCCAGCTTATACAAGTCTTTGTCTGAAGGAATGAGCCTGAAGAATCAGCCTACCTGTGCTTTTAGTACTTCTGAAGCTGGACTGCAGAGAAGGGAGGATGTTGTGACCCTAACTTATAGCCAGATTGAAGATCTGGCAGCTCAGCTGCAGCAAACTCGGTCAGAGCAAAAGGATACAGAGATGAAGCTTCAGAAAGCTCTGGAAGCTTCGCGGGAGGCCAATGAAAAAGTTCAAAAGTAAGTCACTTGCATTCCAACAAAAATTGCGATTTAAGACCAAATTAAATGTTATTTCTTTTAGTATTTTGTCTATAACTGAAAGTGTGGCAGAACTCAGAAAGCATCCTTTAAAATTATTCTTTCTTTGTCAGCTCATTACCTACTCAGTGTGAAACTGATCATTTTAACAGTTTTGCATTATTAGGCAAGTCAGTGTGCCTCTCTGTACTGTTATGGAAATTGTTTTCTGCATGTGCAAGGCACAGAGAAAGTCTTTCCATCTCTTATGAATAGTTTTCACTGTCTTTTTACCCTGTGGCAATCCTATGGCAACAGAGTATTTGCCTTTATAATTGCACAGTAGAATATTAAGGTTCTCATTTTTTGTCTGTTACACATCTGTCAGGTTTCCTGCTGTACTAAGGGCTGATGGGGTGGTTTAGAGGTTGCTTCAAAATCTCACTGAGAGCCACAGGAAGTCTCTGAGTCAGTGAACTCTCTTTCCCATCATAAGATTCCCTGTTAAAAGGTTACTGAACTCCAAAACCTGAAGTTCATGTCTACTGAAGTGCTTATTGTCATATTTGTTATTAGGAGCACATAAGCCTTTGAAAGACTCAATGCTGGGACATGGACATATGTGTAGGCAGAACCTCTTGCCAGTCTGGCACTTCTCATCTCTGCTGTACATTCATCAGCTGCAGAACACTCCTCTCTTACTCTTCCAAAGTGGTTAATGATGAACTGATGCAAATTGTCCTGTCTGTCTATATTTGTCTTCAACTTTAATGTCTGCAGCATATTTACAGAGTAGACAGAAATTGGTTTATAATACATTGCAAGGACTTAACAAGAGTTTTTCCAGTTTTAAAAAAATACATACTGAGTTCTATTAAAAAAAAAAAAAAAAGTTTTCCTATATTTTTCATTTATTTGTAACTGCATAAAATATAGTTAAGGTATTTACATACAAAAATGCGTATTTTCAGTCACCTCTTTAAAACTTCCAGTGGCAGTTTAATAATCATTCAAGTCTTTATTCTGAGCACTTAGATATATTTGAGACTTCAATAGGTGTGAACTTGATAAAAATAAACCTATGAAAAATAATTTAAAGCATGGTAAAGAGAATATTGGTTGAACCTTTCTGTACCTTGTTTTAAGTTGTTAAATGTAATTTTATTTATAAACATTTACTAGCCACAGATATTTAGGTGGAGGTTGGGTTTTCATTGCCTTTTTTTTTTTTTTTAATGTGAAACAGTCTTGTTTAATCCTGTGTACCCTGGGTGGCTAGAGTAGAAGTGCAGCCACAAACTGCAGCCACAAATTAAAGTAGTGGTGATGCATTTCTATAGTGAGAAGTGTTTATATAATTTAACATGCTAAACTACTTGGGAAAATTTTGGTCAGGTTAGTTTTCATTATTGCTAAGATCAGAAGACTGAGCCTATAGCAAAATTAAACAATTGGTTGAAGTCTTTTGATGACAATAGCATGCCCTTTTTACCAAGAAACTGTGGAAATGCTCTGTGCGCCTTCCCAGCACCCAGAGTCATCCACCCCCATCTTATAATTCAACCTGCAAACAGATTAAGCAGCTGAGTTTGTGGAAAGTGTGTTTGCTTTGAGCTAAGAACCCTTGTGTGACACTATAGAGATTCCTCTGACACCTCTGGGAGAGCTACACAGACAGTTCGTACTCATCAGCAGGGAAACCGGGCTGAGAATTCCCCATTTCTTTGTAACCAAAACTGCTTCATACAAATCACTGTTTGGCAATTAGGCAGGAACTCATTTGTTAGCTTAGCATTTTATTTCGAAGATGTAGGATGTTCTACATTTCAAAAAGGAATGGACAATTTATAAACATGTCAATGGGTAGAATTGGTATTAATTACAGAAGTATTAATTATTAGCACTGTCTTATGAGGATGTTTAATGTAGTTTAAAATGTGACACTACAATTCATACTCTAAAGAGAGATCTGAAGTATCTGTTTTCTTGACTTCTTTAAATGCTCAACTAAAATTGAATGCTGACATATGAGGGAAGTAGTTCTATTAGTTATATAAACTAGTTTCTCAATATTATTCAGTAAAATAGCAATAGTTAAAAATCAGAAGAGGAAAATAATTATGACCTTCATTAAGAAGAACATAATTGGAATAATTAAAATAATGCTGAAAAAATATGTACTTTGTATCTTCATACAGTGTAATTTACTGCTGTTCACTGTGCCTTTGCTAATCTGTTCTCTGGCAACACTAAAGAATTTTTTAATATTCTTAAAACTTCAGCATTTGCATTCAGCATGATATGCAGAGCTTGAAACAGCGATGCAATTTCTCCATGGCATTGCCTTCATGTCAGCCATTTGTGTAGTCCCTGACAATTGTTGCTTTCTAAACGTGAGATTCAAGTCAGAATAGAGGTCCTGTGTTTTCCGTCAGGACAAAAGGCATCTAAAAAATTTCTGGATCCTGCCCCATGTGAAACAGCAGCTGTGAACCAGAAGGGGGATATATTGGAATCTACTTGTAGTGAACTTGGACATAGTAAAAATCTGTTTATACTGAAGTAGAGTGAACATCTCACATTGGCTCACAGCAGTGTGAGATATAATTGAGACTGTGTGCTCTTGCTGTGAAGATGATTCATTGTCCTAACAGGGGTGATGGTGTGAAACAGAAAATGTTGATGCTCAGAAAGTGACTACACAGATTTAGCTTCATTTGTTTGACTCTATTTTGATTTTGAAACATTATCAAGGTACATATTAGACTTAAAAGAGCACTATTTAGTTTATAAAGCAACTACATATCTTAATTGTGGTCTGTGTAAATAAATACCTGTATGCACACGCATAACACAATACATATTTATTCAATAGAAAATTATGATAATCTGGGTGGCAATATTTTAACCAATATTCTGTAGAATGGCTATGACTATAATTTTCTATATTTAATTAATGTTTCTGATTCATAGTTACAAACAAAGAATTAGGACAGCAGCACAGAATTCACCAGGAGTGTTGGTATAGTGCCACAGGCCCCCTGCAAGTTTGTCCTGCCCAAGAAGCCAGGAGCCAGCTGGTGCAGCCCCAGCAGGGAAATGGGGCTGACCTGGAGAAGGTGGCTGGGAAAGCCTGTGAATTAATTAATACCTCTGCCAGCAGAGGAAGCAAAGCATTTTAAAACTGTCCTTCCGGCTGGAACCTCTGGGACTGTGGAGTGGCTGCTGATGTCAGTGAGATCAGAGAAGGTTATAATGTAATACCAAATCAATATTAGCCAATTATCAGTAAAGGTTGAGGCCACTTTTGATGTGGTTTTTCCAGGAAACATTCTATTTTTCTGCAACAGCTTTGCAGCTGGAGTGAATTTTAATGCAGTTTTTCTATTGAGGGTTTCTGGGTTTTTTGTCATAGTTTAATGATTCTAGCTTAGTAAAGCACAGCTCTCTGCTTGTGAGCACAGATACACTCACACATTCGTATAGCTGTGTAAGGTGGCAGAGGAGGGCGAGTGGTAGAATTTCTATGTAATCCTCTAAAAATCAACACAAATCCATAAAGTAACAGTGCAGTGCTAAAATACACAGGTATGAAAATAAGCATAAATGATGAGAAGCATGCTGTTTGTGTATTTTGTCAAGGTAGCTCTGATGATGAATAAAGTAAATATAAAAGTGATGTAAAGCAGAAGTTACTGCTTCATTTGTCCTTAACTGTTATTAAAGATATCTTTTCTTTTGATTTTTTTTCTAAAGAGGAAGTCAAGAAAGTTACAGATTTGGATGAAATATTTCAGTGGACTAATTACATAAGAAAACTAAGTGGTCTACTGAATAAACAGTTTTATTAAAGGAAATTATTATCTGTCATAAATGTAATTCTAGACTCAATTTGCTTTACCCCTTAACGTTTGATTTGTTTGGCCACCTAAATTTTATTGTGACCAGAACACACGCTCTTTTTTTTTCTTTAGTCCTGAATTTCCCTCTAACATTTCTGAACATGCTTTCTCTGCTTTTGTAATTGTTCACTTAAGTTTCTTAACTGACGCTGATAATTAAGTTGATCGATGACACAACAAAAGCAAACAGTTCTTATAAGCAGTTAACACAGTTGAAAAGAATGCAAAAAAAAATGAAAGAAATAAGAAGCAAGCATTTATTAAGTAGTTAGTGTCCTCCTCTTTTGCAAGTCAAACTAATCTGCCTTCCAAGTACAGGAGCTGTGTATGTTTCACATCAACATCCAGGACCTTCTTCAGTGCTGGCTGGAGGGTCTAATCTTTCCCAGAATGATCTGAGCAGTGCAGTTCAAGAACAACAATGAATATTTGAATAATCACACCACAATGTGAGGTGACCCTTCGACAGGGGACTGACCAGATACACATATGGATTTTGGGAAGAAGCTCTGATGCTCTTTTTTAACACAGCTGTGAGAAGAATGTGACTAAGACCCAGTAGTCTTTCTGGAGTATAGCTGGTAAAGGAAACCATGAGGGGAAGAGAATGTAACACATGGGTGTAAGAGAGTCCGCTTCATTGATGCGATCTGAGGGGAATGTCTAATGACTGGAAGAATCAAACTTGGCAATGAAAACACAAAGCTCTTTTCATCAATTCAAACGCAGACTCTAAAGCTGCAGATGGTTACCTCCAGCCTTGCCTATTCAGTGAGGGGTTGTATAAAATGGCACTTTGGTGAATACTAATAGATCAAAATAAAGATTTAATAACATAAAGATGTGGTGTTCATTTTTAAATGAGAATACAGGTCAGTGTCTCAGAAAGGAGTGAAATAAGTATCTTTATGTATGGGTCTAAAGTCTCTGGAGAATTTTAACTGCAAACATGATATCTTTAGTGTGCAGATTGTGTTCAGTACAAGACAGCTATGCAGGGAACAGGCTAAAAGCAAGATTTCTGAATTATACTAATTGAGCCTTTTTGCAACATACAAATGTTGTTAACTAGTTATCTCCCTTTTAAAATCATACCTA